ATTATTTTAAAAAATCTAATTGAGTAGAAGGCTACAAAGATTTATAATCAATTAAAATATTGATTAAGAAAATGGAATAAAAATTATCAAATGATGTTTTAATGTAAATAATAATTTTTAAATCTTGTTCAAACCTTTTATTGTCTTATGGCTACATGATTATGATAGTTAAAAGGACTCTTTGTTCGTGAACAGCTCGTGTTCGGCTACTCGTGTTCGGCTCGCTAAGCAAACGTGCCGAACACGAACACACTTTTTGAGCTCGATGTAAATCCGAAATATAAACGAGGCTCAGCTCGTGTTCGGCCCGTTTACACCCCTACCCTTAAACCAATCTCCCTACATTCAATTACCCAATCCTTCTTTCAAACAAACAAAAAAAGTATGAAATCTACATATTATAGGGTGTTCCAGGAAGAACTACAACTGTGGGATCCTTCTTCCAACAATGGGTAATGTTGCCCTTTGCTCATGTCCATCCTAAGAACCATCTTGGTGCTTGAATATGACAATATTGTTGAAAATTTTACAATAGTTACAACTGCCTGAAAGTACTTATGATACAACTGTTTGGTCAAAAATGATATGATTTATATAATTTATGGCTATGCTCATCGAGAATTTAGTGTTGTTTGCTTACAACGTAGCCATCTAGAGTTTACTGCATGATGTCTCATTTGATAGTTATAATTTCATTAGGATGGATCGGGTGAATCATAAGCTTCTATACAGGCATCAAAAAAGGGCATTCACATTAGATTAACCAATTTGACTTATAGAATTTATAGCAGAAATTGCAAAATTTTAGGTCTCTAGGAATATTTTTCTTTGCAAATTCAACACGGTTAATGTGGGCAGAAAGAAGAAAAGCCAATTGAAAAGGAAGAAGAATTTAACCTAGGTCTCACGCAATAAATAAATAACACCGTTGGCGTCACCTGCTTCGATGCTTCGGCGGATCTGACGGATGATAAGGCGATACTGGTAGGATGAAGAAGAGGAAGGAGAGGAGGGTGAAGACAGTCGGTTGAGCGAGAGGTGAGGGGGGGGGGGGGGGGGGGGGGGGTTCGTTCCTCGATCGACCGAGGGTAAGAGAGATTGAGCGAGGGAGGAGACAGGGCGACGTCAGGAATAATCCTTCGAACTCGAATCCAAGACACGGGCCTAGGGGTCGATTCTGCGGCCCCATCTTAGGGTCTGTTTGCAGAGTAGCAGTTTTACAGCTCATGCAGCTGCGCTGCCTCAATAAGCTGTTGCGAGGAAGCTGGCTGGCTGTTTGTTGCAACAGTGTCAAAATAGCTGTGGGACAGCTGTTTCTGAAAAAATAATCATTTTGTCCATGTTTAGTTAAACTATTTTGAACAGAACAATGACAGCGATACATCAGAAGCATAAATTTACTTTACAAGCTAAATATGTAAAATATGAACGAGCATTTGATATATTTCAAAATTGTACTTTTATTACTAATAATATAGGAGCATCTACATCCATTCCATAAAGAACAAGTATGATTAAATAAAGAAAAACACACAGTTAATTGTCAAAAACAGTGAGTAATGTTCCTTCTGAACCATCAAATTTTTAGTGAGCATACCAATCAGGAATGGGTAATCAAATAGGCAAATCTACAGAATGGATGCACCAATGGGAGAAAGGATCATTAGCCTATGCAGACTCAAACTTGAGGTAGTTCCATTCCATTTTAAGATAGATTTTTACTTTTCAAGGTTCATTTCTTTGTTATTTTGAAGAGAAGATCAAGGCCCGGTATTTTTATCAACTTCAAACCGTTGAGATTGAAAGCCGTGAATAATGATCCTCACATAGCACTTATTTAAGGGAAAACTTTTGAATTGAAAGCCATGAATAAAATGCCACAACAATAAATTCTCACAAAGCACATTCTGGTATAAAAACGATAGAAAATCAGTGAAGAGAAGAAAAAGGAGTTCGAGGGGAAATGAGCTAAAGGAGAACAACATGAAGAGCGTAAAGAGGGCTTACGATGTCGTTCTTGGCATTGAGAAGAGCAGGATTTTCCTCCAGCTATATCTGGAGGCCAGAGAGATCACCAAACTGCGCACAGCCATGGATGTTGTTAGGTTCCAATGTCCTCATCCTCCTCCCAGACATCCTCTTCTCCCCCACAGCCATCGCCCTCTCTTCTCCACGTTTTTTTCTTCCTCTTCGCTTCTCTGCTACTGTGGTGCTTGCTTCCTCTTGCTTTGAAAACCAAAGATATCGGAGAAAGGGGAGAGAAAAATTTTCTGTCGCGGAGCAGAGGGGAGGAGAGGGGAGTTCGCGGGATTTACTCGACTCGAGGAAGGGGGCACCGGAGTAAAAAGCCGATCGATGAAGCTGGACCGTAGGGAGCTTCCCGCGTTCGCACCAAATCGCGGGAAGCCGTGGCGTCACCGCCGCCCCAAAGAGGGGAAAGTAGCGGCACAGTGCCGCGCCGCTGGTCCCCCGCGGCCCCAAACATACCTTAATCTAAAATCAGGTTTCCCAATAAGCTTGTCAGACACACAAATCAAATGGCACCATGAAGTTTTCAAAATGCTCCCGCAGCAAATAAGCTGCCCCAAAAGCATCATATATGAATGCCAATAGATTAGAAAACACATAAATCAATTAGAAGCATGGAAACAACAACAAATAAAATATGTTAGGAAAACCACAAAATCAATTACTACTCCCTACATCACAAAGACCTGAAGAGAAATCTAATCTCTCATATCTAAATTAGGCAACTCCATAAATCCATGCAAATAGAAAAAGTAAGTAACATTACAGTGCAAAACACTTATAAATGAAGTTCTCATCTTCAATACAATGACCAAACTCTCGTTTCATACAATGCTCTCAAATGAAAACTAAAGAAAAAGAAGAAAGAGAAGGGGATACAAAGATCTCTCCAAAAATCCCTCAAATTTAAACCTCCAATTGTCTCTAATGGTTCAACCCTCCTCCAAGTAGACATAAGATCAATTTTTATAGCAAAGATCTTAGATTTAACAAGAAAAATCATTGCAAAAACATTTCTCGCTTCATCGGCGTGGTCACACCCAAACTTGGTGTGGTCATACCCGTGTTTTGGTTCAGGCGGTGTGGTCACACACTATTCAAGCATGGTCATGCCATACATTTGATCGAGAGGTGTGGTAAAACTGGGTTTGGCGTGGTCACACTGCTACATTCGATACCGCAGCATGATCACACTCATATTAGGCGTGGTAACTCTAGTTCCAAAAAAATTTTCATTGGTTTTTCATCCTGAAATGCATGGCCAGTCTTCTGTAACCAGCACATTACCAACAACAACCTTTCAGAAGCATAAGTCCATGATAATTAGGGCGAAAGAGCAATTAGAATGAGGAATAAAAAATAGGTAAAATCACATAAAATTAACTCATGTCAACTGTGCTCTTCCTTTCCTTTTGAATTTTCTTTTCACTTAGTGCCTTGCATATTTTTTTCTTCTTTCAAAACCTAAATGATATTTAGTTTCATTAAGAATTATTATATTCGGTTAAACATTTTTTTTAATGATTTTGAATGTCTAATCTGTTTCAATTTCTAATCCTTATAGTCTTCTAAACACAAATTCCAGAACATTAAAATTCATTTTAAAGGAAAGTTAAATTAATTTGTTCGAGACAGAAAATCAAAGGCTTTATTATCCTCGGTTAATTACTTCTTCTAATCATACCATTCTAATTGTTATGAAGCTTTTTAGGGTTCAAATAGAAGTTATTACAATGAAGGATGCAGGTATTAAAATTTCAATTCTAACACTCCTTTAATGGATATTTACATTTCTAATGAATGTTTTATCTAGTATAGTCAAATCATCGGGCTTCCCATCAAAAGTCATTATTTCTAAAGTACACGCAATAACTTAAATATATGAATTACTCTTAGACAAATTTACATTTCTAACGTAATTGAATTTTAATTGAGCCCAACATCTATAATGGTCTTTCGAAAATTCTAACGACTCATTCTATAAAAAAAAATTTACAGTATTCTAGATACATATTTAAAATGAGTGTTTAGAAAAATATAGAATATGTAATTTATGATTTATGTATAGGAATAATCTACAGAGTCAATAGTAGTCATACGATTGAAATGTGTTGGCATAATCATAATGAATGTGTCACTAGTATAAATAGGTGTTACGTGTTTGAGTTTGCATCAAGAAAAAAAAATAGAGAGAAATAATGTGATTTTTTTTCAAGTTATGTTCCTCTTCTTTCTCAACATTCATCCTATCATAATGTCGTCTTACTTCTAACAAAGCCCCTTTAATGTGATCAGAATGTAATTATTAAAATTTAGATGGTTAAAATGTAAATATATACGTTTTCGACGTTAGACATGTAAAAATCCTTAGATGATAATATTTTGGCTGGGAATGGACTTCCGGGATATGACAGCATTTAATGTCAAATTTCAGGATGCATGTCTGAAATTAACAGGCGACCCGATCGAAAGACGAAGGTGCATTGCCAACTCCGTTTTGATTCCCTCCCAAATGGCGAGCTGCCGGTGAACTGATTGCCGGCGAGCTGCCGGTCCTCGCTCTCCTCATCCCTGGGTTTCAAGCTGCGCGTAGCACTTAACCCCCTGGCTGGTGACTCTGCATCTCCTCCATGAAACCACTCGCACACCAACTCAATCTTGGCTCTTTCGTAATGGAAAAGTACGTCTCCATCTTTCAGATTGCAAAGAAAGAATGGCGGGCATCGGGCCCCGTCGTCACTCGCAACATCGCCCTCGATTCTCCGTTGCAGGTGAATAGACGGCTGGGCGCCCGTAAGGTGTTCGACAAAATGCTTGCTGTCATCTCACTCACTGATTTAATGGATGGCACCGGCTCCGCACTTTTGGTCACTTGATGATATGAGGTTCAAGAATCCAAGAGTTTGCGTCCGTTCTTGTCAGTTGCGGATACCCTGGGAATCGACCGGAAAGCCGTATCGTCGTCCGGAGCTCCGGGAGAGCGCTGGGAAACTACTCCTTCGGTTTTCTAAGATTGTGAAACAGTTCTCTAAGCAGCACTCTGTTCCTGCTCCAGTCATTGACGACAGGCCTCGCCATCCCCACAGGTTCGAGTATAGCAAGCTCATGAAGGAATTTAAACGGGCAGGCCAGGTTGATCAAGTCCTCAGGCTTCTGCAAGAGATGAAAGATTTCAACTTGAGGCCAGACATGGTCTGCTACACCATCATTATGGACAGTTTGGTGATGGCTAATCGTCCCGAGCAGGCTTTGGCTATTTTTGAAGAGATGATCTCCACTGGCTTAGCTCCTGACACTGCTTGCTGCACTGTGCTCGTAAAGCTATATTCTTTCTATTTAAAACAATTTGATTCTGCTCATGAAGTCATCTTGTGGATGAAGAAATTTGGTTGTAGTCCGGATACTTTAACGTACACGACATTAATCACAGGTCTTTGCTGGGACTACAGAGTGGAGGAGGCATTCAGAGTGTTGGATTCCATGGCAGATGATGAATGCCAGCCGAATGTGTATACTTACACGCCAATTGTTTATGCTTTCTGCTGCATGGGAAAGCTTAATGATGCCAGGAATTTGGTGAAGGCTATGATAAGCAAAGGTTGTTTTCCTAACAGTGCAACTTATAACATATTGATCAAAGCTTTTTGCAAGATTGGAGCTTTTGATGAAGTTGACGAGCTATTAGAAGAAAGTAAGCATAATGGTTGGAAGCCAGATGAGATAACATATTGCACCTACATGAATGGTCTCTGCAAGTGGGGCGAGATGGATCGTACATTCCAATTATTAGAAATTATGCTTGATAATGGGTTAGTTCCTAATGCATTTACTGTGAATATTCTCCTTGATTGTCTTTGCAGTGGTTCCATGGCTTGGGAAGCCAAACTCTTGTTGGAGCGGAGCGCTGAATTGGAATGGGATGCCGATGTCATCAATTATAATACTGTGATGAGCCGACTTTGTGATGATGGCAGATTCATGGCTGTTCTGAAGCTTTTCACCGATATGCTAAAGAAGGGTATAAGCACAAATGCCTGGACTTTGAGCATTGTGATCCATAGTCTCTGCAAAGCCGGAAAGCTTCGTGAGGCACAACATGTATTAGATATAGAAGATGTAGCTACTAATGAGGCCGCGTATTGCACTCTAATTCAGTACTTTTATGTAGCAGGAAAGGTTCATGAAGTTTCACTGCTTTTTTCAAAGATGGTGAAGGGTAACATTTTCCCAAATTCTTCCACATACAGTATTTTGATTGATTGTTTCTGTCAACAAGGAAACTATTGGCAAGCTATCTATTGTTTCCTCAGATCTTTTGAACAGGGATCATCGCAGGGTCTTGTTGCCAGATTAATTTATTGGTTGGTTTCTGCCGGGAGAGTTAGACTTGTACTGTACTTGATTGAACAAATATTGGAACAGGGTGTTGTTATGGAGTCATACATTTATAATTCTTTTATCAAGGTGTGTTGTAAGATGGGTTATTGTCAAAGTAAAGAAGTTTACAACATCTGTTGCATTTTGGATAGAATGCTGAGTTTTAGATAACTTCAATGGAGGCCGATGTTTTTAAGTGCGGTTTCGATATCATTGAAGATGAAGAACTTGATGGGAATGGTAATTTTCTTTAGCAATCCTATTCTACTTTTAGCATCATGTTATGAATTGATTTTGCATCAAATATGAGCTGTTTTTGCTGTAAAAATTAGCATGGACTAGAAAAGCATTTAGTTTTTGCCCAATATCATCTGAATTTCCAGAATTTAAATGCTCTTTTTAGTTTGATAGCTTTAGTAAGATGAGCCCTTTATTTTATGGAGAATATGCATAATTAGATTTATGTTTGAATGCTCTTTGATACTTTTTTTCCATTTCTGCTTTGGCAAGGTGCTCTCCTTCTTCATATTTTATGTTATACCTCATGTTTTTTATACATTAACTCGCAGTCATGTTATGGGACAAGATTTTGGAATGCCAAAATAAATGGAAATTATGAAATGCTATCTTAATTAAAAAGCAAACCTTACATGTTACTAAATGTGTTAAATGTTGTAGCTAGGGATTCACTACTGGAGAAATGTTTAATGTTGCTATTATTAATAGCTTACTGGTTGTTTCTTGGCATTTTTAGTTTGGTTACATGTATTCTTAAATTTTCTTAGCCAACCTTGTATTTATTTGATGGAGTTCCAGCTTCTTGCTTGTGAGACACCATGCATGTTTAACCGCTTCTATGCTACCAGAATAAAGAACTATCTTGAGCATTCATTTCCTAAAATTGAATCCTCCCCCCCCC